TTAATGTAGTTATATAGATAATTAGATACCATTCGGTAAAAATTTCGCTGGCAGTAATTTCTACATGGTAAGTGCTCCTCCATTATTTGGTTTCATAGGGATTCGGATACCTTCCTCATTGAAGTAGTAAAGAAAATTCGCTTAAGTGCTTTTTTCGGTTAAGTGCACATGGTTTTTCGTGCAAAGAAAGATGGGCAGCTAAGCAAAATATACTGTACATGGAAAACTTTGGGCGCTTTGAGCGACCACTAAATATTTTTTGATTTCAAAATAAAAAATAAAGGTATATTTTTTTCGGTATAGAACAATCCTAGGGGATGAGAGCATAAAAATTTCGACTTTACCTTTTCACATGCATTTTGGACTACCCTAGTGAACATACATACATATGCACGGACATATGCACTTGTATGCCTGCATATACTATAGTATGCATATTCGTCATAATATTACATTATAATTAAAGAGCTGTAAGCAAATAAATTAAAACAAAAAAAAAAATATTTTAATGGATTTTAAACCCTGACCTGGGCCTCTTCGAGCTAAAACCAATTTATGCACATACATATGCACATAAATGTATGTGTGAATGTATGGGCACAAACTACGACTTAGTATAACTGTGACTGCGAATGCTAGAGTTCTCACGACGGAGACGATGACGATTTGTAGCCTCAACGTGACATGCACACTAAATAGTCAAACCAAAATTATTATTGTATGTTGGCCACATTATACCTACATACGTACTGTTAGCACGGTTGTTTTGTATTTTTTAGTTTTACCTTTCTGACTGCTTTGTAACAATTTACTTACTGCACATGCGTATAAACAAAAACAAATTCAAAAAAATTAGATAAACATTTAATAACAACTGGGTTTTTAACTAGTAAAAGTGACAAGTTTTCCAATTCTCGTGTTTTGTATGCAAATGCAGTAGGAACTATGCCATTGAAAATAAGACTCCAGAAAATATTAGTTTTGTTTTAGGAAATACATTTGCTAATAATAAAATATTATGGTGCCTACACTTTTGCTAAGTGTTACTTGCTTAATGGAGTCTCTAGTTAATAGAAGGGCCTACATTAACCAGTCAAGGAAATATATGGCATTTTATCAAGATATTAAACTTTTCTAACTTTGTCCGGAACGATACCCATACACCGTTGTCTTCTCGCACACGCGCATTTGTTACTATCATACATTTATGAGAACTTATGGGCAAAAATATCTAGCTATGCGTGAATTAACAAAAATAATGCAGTCGATACTCGGAGTGTTTAAAACTCTTAGTTTTCAAAACGCCTATCAAGCAATATGAATTGATTTTATGAATTCAAGCTGAAATGCTGATGGCTTATGGATTAGGTATCTCCTGCTCGAATGTAATATGTACAACTAACTATTACCTCCGATGCCAACAACTTCGTATCCCCAAAAATCTTAAAAAAACAAATTCATTGCTGATTTTTACAATTGCATACCACAATATTAATTATTTCACCACAGTATTCTCGCTATATAGTCAAGTAAAAAACATTTTGAAACTCAAAATAAAATCACATTTAATTTGTAATTTTCAGAAGCCAATTTAAGGGTATTATTACTATTTAATTTATTTTTTTATCTTATTTATGGCTTTAATTTAAGCCTAAGTAGAAGGTTCTATCATCTTCTGTTTTTTTGCTGGACCTTCTAAAATATTTCAAAAAACGCGATTTTCTTGACACTTTGACCTAGTTTTTCTCAAAATCTGGAGCTGATGGAAACCTTATACTTATGGATTCGTAATCAGCACAAAAAGTCTTTCACAAACAGCTTTAACATTTGCCGCAACAAAATCACTGTTACCTTGTGTAATTGCATTACTTAATATGTATGTATATATAAATGAATGTAAGTAAAATTAAAAACATCAACGTTTTTACAGTGTTTCTAATGCGAAATCGGCAGAGTTGCAATTGTGACTAAAGAATAAAATTTTACAAAAAATATACTGCACTCAGGTAAGTTATTTAATTATTTAAAATTAAATATTATCTAAATTCCTTGCAAAAGGCAGCTCATTTCCCGATTCCCCCATCGAGACAAATTGCCCGCAAATTGCGGAATTGCACGCAAGTTGGCATCCCTGATATGTACAGATGCGTGCAACTAATTAACAACGTACCAACAATACCCAACACCCAAATTCGAAATTTTTACTAAACTCCCCTGTTTGGAAAGTATACTTAGATTAATCTGTCAAAAATTTCCATAAAGTTCCCTCATTTGAAAAAATTGCAATTTTTATGCAAATTTGACTAATGCGATGGTGCATTTAATTAGCAACGCGAGTTAAATTCTTCAGAGTTTTGCGAGTTAATTGAATTGCGGTAAGAGTCTTTTTATATTTTTACTAAAATAGTTTATTTACAATGAACTTAATAGTTTTATTTGAAAAACAATGGGTAAGCGCAAATCGTGTAGCGAGGAAACTAGGGCTATTATCGTGCAGGGCGCGGTAGTGCGCAGAAGTCCCTCCCCTTGTGTGACAACATCAATGCACACGCCACAAATAGGAAGAGAAGCCCAGCCAAGCACTAACAAATGTGTTAGCACTAATCTATTACACTGGTCTACAAGGGTTTTGCGAATAAGACGGGACCTGGTGTTTCCGAACGGATTTTTCGTGCTGAACACGAATCTGGGGTCCAAAACTTCCCATCACGTCACGTTTTCGAGAAAAAAGGGGTTGAAACC